AGGCTCCTCACGGCCCAAGTGCTGTCAGCACTGCTGCAATCCTCAACAGGCTCGACACTGGAGAGCCCAAGGCCACCAAGGAGCTCCCTTTCACTGCAGGCGGAGGTACAGCCACAAATCTTGCCCATTTTTCAGGCGATCCCACCTCTCCTTGGTTAAAAGATTGAATTAATTCTGTTTTCTATGCTGTGACCCACAACCTGTAGTTGAGTAACTGAGGCAGACAACATCGTGGACATGTTTGACCATAATAAAAGACAGTTAATCCAGCAGATGCAAAACGATGACAGAAACATTAGATGTCCTTGCATGTCGGACCATCTAAGACAAAGGGCTCTATGCTTTTTTGGCAATCATAATCGAAGGGATTCACCACATAAAGGTGAATGTTTACAAGCAGCAGCCTAAGGAATACAAACAGGAGACAGAAGTTACAGAGGTTCTTCATATGCAGCGACCATAACTAATGCTTTGGTAAAACCCTAGAATACTCTTTTAAACTTTTCTCCTTTATTTTAACTTCTTTTTTTCGTAAGAAAGAGATGTGCATCATGCTGTCTGCCTGCTTTATCCTATCAATGTAGGAACCCGTCTTCATTTTCCACTGCATCTGACAAAGCGGAGAGATCAAACTTCATTTCATTCCTACAAGTTTCATGAGAAGCAGTGACTAGACAAGGGGAGAGCGATCTAAATTAGTGCCTCATTAAGTAAAAATGTGAGGTCAGCAGTCATCTATTCCCTCTGGCTCGCTGACTGGGCCAGTCAGCACGCATGTAGCTCAGAAACAGCCTCAGCAAAACCAGCCCACCTCCTCTCTGCTAATTAAGAGATATAGAGGAGACTTGCAGGGTGATTAGGAAAGGTCCTGGGAGAAAAGGACCGCAGAGGTAAAATGTAGGTGTTGCAATGAGAGATGGGAACAAGGGATGTCAAATGCGGAGCCAGGATTATTGCAAAGGTACGGTGCTGGGGGCACAGGATACAAAGCTTCACTAGCTTCTCTGCTCTTGAAAAAGCTTGTTATTTTTAGTGCTTATGGCTGAATTCAAAGCCAATTGAACTCAGAGGGAAGATTTCCATTGAACTATTTTTGTGGGGATGGGACAAAATATACTTCGTTCTCATAACTGCTCCTCTGAATTCAGCAAGAGTAATTGAAGCCTCCTTCTATCTCAGCTACATACATCTCTCACAAGAATAGTATACACACCTCAAATGCTGAAATACTTTTCTATCTCCACAAGAAAAGCTAATTAATAGATTAAAAAAATGGAGGAACAACTAGGGTGAAGACTCATAAAAAGTCTGCACTTCATCTGCAAAACTGCAATCCAGTTTAGATTTGGCAGAGTGCTTCACCCGAAAAAGAAGGCATCTGATGCTGAATTTGGGAGAAATGTCAGTATCGTGTGAAGTTGCATTTGTAGATGGATCACTGTTTGCCATTGATACAAATGATGCTTTTTCTTTCACAGAACAGTTAGCGTTTAATTTATATTTATGAGACTGCTGGTGAAATAGCAACTCACATTTTGGAGTAAGCGCTGGGGTTGTCCTTTATGACATGAGACCTTTAGACTGTACTTGCAACATTATGTGCATTTATTAGACACTATAGCTCTATGAATAGTGAGAAAACAGGTGATAACCTAAATTATTTCCACAGAGCTAGAGATTAGGTTTTATCAACATATTAGTGGGTAAGCACATTATTGCCTCTCTGCAACCAAAAATGTTTTTATAGCAGACATTTTCAGTTATGGATAAAAATAAACCTAGAAAAGAACCTTAGGAAAATGCTAAGAAAATTCAAAGATAATTACATTTAAAGCTCATTACTGAACATAAACTAAACCAACCAGGAATACTTCTCATCCTGTTTATTTAATATTGCAATTTCAGGGTGGCTGAAAAAAATCAGAAGTCACAGAAGGGGCCCATCAGTGTTAAATGTAATAACTCTCTAAAGATTCTCAGCTACCTCTTCCGAGGAGTTCATCATTTACCATTTTAAACATCTCTGTCTTTTTTGCCATCTAGTCAAAATCATGACAGGTACTATTCATAGCTTAGTTGTAATAAGAGGAAAACTCATGGTAGATACTTCATGATTTTCCCAAAACTTAAAAAAAAAAAAAAGTATGAGACACTGGAAAAATAACTGAAGAGTATTTTGCGACTGAAAGTTGTATGTTTTTTTCCTCTCTTTCTTAAGAGAGTAGAGTTTCCAATAGCTTGCTTTAATAGGATTGGAATTGTACCAGAACTTGAGACAAACTAACAGTTTGTGGAAAAGACAGTAGAGAACGCATTTGCACGCTTTTGGATACTGTCAGCTGCCCAGACATCACAGGATTTACTTTTCTAAGTTAGCTTCTTACTATCCCTGATTCTTGAGATATGAAAATGCTGATATTTTGTGAATTTGTGCGATGAAAACTCCATTCTTCCACATCATTAGGACAGAGGAGAGGACTGACTGAAATAATGAAACCTTAGTGGTCTTGGTGGATCCTTAAAGAATAATTTAATTCCTTTATTTAGCAAGCACTTACTACCTTCTGGGAATGAGCAATTTGTAAGCAGCACAGTAAAATCCTGTTTTTCACAGGGCAACCTCTTACCATCCTCACCCCTTGCACCTTAGCACCCCTTTCAATATCCTGAATTTCTCCCAGTACTTAAGCACCTCCCAGTACTCTCAGCTCCCTGAGTCACTGACCTGCAGCTTCCCTAGGAGGCAATGTGTGCCAGGGCTGACCCCGCACCGTGCTGGATGGCCTGCAGGTACGCGCCTGCTATCTGGCCAGCCATCAGGGCAAGCGAAACAGAGATGCTGAAGCCACAGCTTTCTGCTCGGCAGAGGGAGTGACTGATGCCTGTCTGCCTCCTCCAAGCAGTTCCAGGTACCCACTTAGCTTTCCAGTTATTAAAATTGTCTAATGAATTCAAAAAGCTATCTGGAGACACAGAGAAGGAAAGGAAAACAGAATTTAAAAAAATAAACAGATAAGCATGACTGCATAAGCATATGATAATTCTTACAACATCAGTCTTAAAAGTATGAGAACTCCCTAGCATCTGCAAGTACTTGGAAAGGGATGACCCAGCAGAACTAACTGCTCAGGGTTGCAGAGACTAGCGTGAAATAACAGCCTGAAGGAGAGGTATGTTTAGCCTAAACACCAGGATTATGGTCTTAGTGATAAGGAGTGAGAGCTAGTGGAAAAGTATGTGAAACTACAGACACGCCACGGACTGATTTCTTACCGCGAACAAAGAAGTCTTGCGTTGGCTACGTTTAATTGGGATCTTCTGTTTTTCGTGTTTCTACTATTATAAATATTATTAGCAGATGGCAAGTCAACTGTGGCTACACCAACAACATCCGTCACCTTTGGTTTCGGTTCTTGGACAGATTTCTGAAATCACATGTCTAAAATGCAAAGGCGCAGGGACTGCATGCCACCAGCATGTCCCCAGAGATGTCCCTGTGGGCAGCCCGAGGCTTGCGAAAAAGAGTCAGGATGCAGTAAAGTTGGCCGGCATGGGGCCAACCACGTGCTACCTCATCTCAGGGAGATGTCAGTGCAGGCAGTCACCTATCGCGCTGACCCTCGCAGGGCTGCAACTGCGTGGGCCCCCCGAGGGCCAGAAAGTGCAAGGTGCTGGGCAGTGCCACAGCACCCGTGGAGTCTGGCAGGACAGGACCCTGCGTAATCGATTTCTCTCCTCAACTGATGCGCTCAGCCTCACAGCGCCGCTCTGGTGGGCATCAGTCTGAAGGGAGCAGAGCCCGAATTATTTTGCATTTCCGCTGACCCCCTGCCAGGAGAGCACCCGCCTTCTGCCTGGTTTTGTCAGCCTGACCCTGTGGGCCTTGCACTCATGAAACCGCGACGGAATTCAGTGCAATTCTTCACGTAAAACCAATGGGAGGAATCAGCCTCTTGTCTCATCTGAAAATACTCTTCACGGTTCTATATGACTTCTAATTATTCTTTAGCTCTATTATTAATGTTTACTTTCACGACAATTGTGAACTATCTTGACATGCTTCAGCAAAATACCTTAACTCATTAGAGTTATTATACAACCCATGGCTGAATTCAAGCAAGCTTGAAAAAGCCTTGACTTGTGCTGGACTGTTTCTGCAGAAGTAGGCTCATAAAACTGTTACACCAGCAACAGTGGGGGGCTCCCCATCCTCTTCTCATTTCATCTAGACCTTTGAATTTTAATTCAGTAATTTTTCTTTAAACGTCTTCTACCAACTATGCCTACAGTCCTTCTCTACCGCCTATCGATGTGCATAACTCTCGATAGTCATTCCACATTTATGTTAAACATTAATCTCAGACTTTTGCTGAGATTTCTGAAGTAGCCTAGGAGACTGAGACACATCATTCCTGTTTATTTTACCAGGCGTTGGGCATCAAAATCCCCCAAGGTGGCTTTGGCTATGTCAGCAAAAACTGTATTTATGATTTAATATAAATATGAAACGACTATGGAGAATCGTAGACAAATCTCCGCCTTCATCTGTAACGTGCTACTCCATTCTGCTCTTTAATTTGTGTTCATTTGACCAATCACTTTTATCTAGCACATTGCAAAAAGCACAGCAATGTAACAGTGCAGTCCAAACACGGATGAAGCTAATAAAGAAGAACCTGGTAGCAACAGCAAGTATTTTATCAGCATCAGATTCTTGCAGTTAATATACCAGCCTACATGTAAATTGTACCGTTCCGTCCTGAAGAGTCAGTCCCAAAGCACTTAGCAAATTACACTCTGAAACTGCTTCTGCCTCTGAAACAGAAGTGCGGGAGCATCCTCTGTCTTTTGAGTAGGGTCAAAATTCTGCCCTAAGGCAGCGTGTGAATGGTGCAGTGAATTGGAGCTGCTTATCTCTGCAGGCCCAGACTAAAATTACTAGACCAGAAATGGGGATGGGGGGGTGGGGAGGTTACGTGATGATCCCATTTTAGTGAACAGAAGGTTTTTGAGTAACTCGCAGAAAACAAGTGTCCTAGTTTCCCCTAACTGTCCTGTTCCGATTATCTGCCAGGTTACAGGTCACACCGATTCCTACCGGGGACTTAGATTCAGTATTTGCTTTGGAGTCAAAAGGGAGAGTTAAACCCTCTTTTTTTTCACAGCCTCGCTTATCTATTCTTCTGTTAGAGGAGTAACACAGGTAAAAGACCCCACACCAAACAGGTCATGCTCAACTATTGCAAAATGCTGCCTTCTGCAGGGATGACGGACGATCAGGAAAGACTTAAGGTTGCAGTCCTCAAGATTTTCTCAATGTGGTAATACTGTGTCAAACTACAACCAGGTCAAGACAAGTTTAAAAGCAGTCCCACACCATCTATTACCTCTTCATTTCTGCCACAAAGTCCAGGGAGAGTTCTGCCTTTGACCGCAGTGAAAGCAGGACCAAGTTTTTCCAAGGTGACTAAATCAGCGTGCAGGCCTTTGCATCTTGTGTAGCGCGCGGTCCTACAACCCTTCATGCACGCCACTGTGGTCACAGGCTTCCACCTGCCTACGTCAGACGCGCGCTGGAGACAGGGCTATGTTTTGCTTACAGCATAGATGGGCATCACTCAAAGTTTGGTCTTTCTCCTAGCTCCAACCTGGAAAGCGATCGCTTTGCTTGGAATCAGAAGCTGATTTGCATCTCCATTTTGTATCTGCTTATAGCAAGGAATCGATGGGTGTGCTTGTGAATCAGCACGTTGGGAGGATTCATTTTTTTCTGGTGAAATCATAAATAATTGTTCTCCTCCATAAAGAAGAATCAACCTACGTTTCCAGAGCACTTGCGAAATGCTTTTTCTAGACTCCATCGCATAGCCTGATTTTGGAAAGTTCTTAAGATCTCTGGGTTTAGGAAAAAAACCATATAAATAGGGTTTTCTGGTTTTTTCGGGGTTTTGGTTTTTTTTTTTTTTTCCTAAGAGCTATAGAAGTCTTTCTTCAATACAGTTTTCAGAATGTCACCATCAGGAAAGCATCCAAAGCAAAAACAAGGTAACAGGATTCCTTGCTGCATGCTTGAGGGAAACACGATTTCTACATATTCTAGCAAGTTTCGAACTCAGCCATCCTTCTGAGCAGTCACGATCTGAGCTTACTCACTAGGAAAGCCTGTACCAGCTCGCAGCATGCACCCAGTCCTGCTGTTGCAGTCTTGCACTACTGCCCCCAGCCCGCACCCGCCAGGTGAGAGGGAAGGTGCCAGCCCCCCCTCCTCGCAGCCACGGGGGCAGGGAGCACTGCAGCCCCCGGCCGTGCTAAGCCCTGAGCTGTAGGCCTGGTCTGAGCTCCCCGTGCCCCCCTTAAGCCTTCCCACAAGGGCGTTAGGGGCACAAAGAACCGATCCGAGACAGTAAATTTGAGGAGGAAAGCAGATCGCTCCCTTCCCCCTGACACCAGCAGGCTAAGACGAAATGCAAAGCCCGCTTGTTTTCTTCGGCTGCTCCGCACCACACGGAGCCAAGGTTTTTCATTTCCTTAAAAAACCCACAGCAAAAATTCAAAGGCGATTGGCAACTCACCCGAAGTGGCTGGCTAAACTCATGGAAACGCAGAAGAGGAAGAAGTTTTTGATCATGATAAAGCCAGAGACCATCCCATTGTCCATTCCAGAGGAGAGGAGGAACGCAGGTGGTTGCTTTGGTAAAGGTGCAGCTGCTCACTTTGTTCTTACACTGCAACGATACAAAAAAAGAGATAAATTATTACACGGACACGCAGCAGGATAGCCGAGTTCAGCTAACACCGCATCTTCTGCTATCTGTGTTTTTCGCAAACTTCTCTAGGCTTATGTAAACATCAGCTGTTTATGTAAAATTGTATATCTTCAAGGACATGTTTTACCTTCTGCTGACAGCAAAATGTAACACAGGAAAAATTCTTAGTGGCCCTGTTTTCCCTTATATTCGTCCGTCATGTAAGCGACTAAAGAAATCGTCTCCATTTTCCAAATGCCGATTTCGACCCTTTACCTATTCCAAATACTTCCACACGCCTGCAAACCTGGGGCTATATGCAGCCTCCGCATCCCTTCCTTCCATCGCAATTTTTTTCCCATTAAATACCCGGCTTCCCTTTCCAAATTCCCAGTTGAAATGCCAAGAAACACCTACTGCTTCTTGGAATTCACACTGCTGATGCACGGCTTAGCAAAAAGAGGGGGGAATGAAGGGGGGCAATAAAAAGTGACCTTCCTCGCAAAGGCACATAAACCTCAACGCTAGCACGAAGAATGACAGTAACGTAGCTGCTCCAGCAACTGCCGCTTTTCAGATACCTGCCTCAGCGACCAGATCACCAATTTCAGCATTGTGCACTAATGTTTTCCTCTGTGCCCTATTAAAAAAAAACAAACCCAAGCCCCCCAAAAAATCAAAAAACCCAAACCAAAAAAACAACCCAAACCAAACAAACCCAAGCCAACAAAACCCCCAAAACAACCCCCCAAAACACACCAGAGGGGAGCTGCCTGGATTTTCCACCTGAACCTTCTGCCCCCCGCACTACACCGCTCAGCAACTTACTCTCCCCGCC